ACTTAACCAACATACAATTCGTGACGACTTCTTGGTGATGGTAACCTACATCAAAAAAGTTCAAAAGTATGAAAGTACCCACTGCTTGTGCCGTCTGCCGGGCCTCACGAAACCAAGTACGCAGGGCTCCACCCAAACGCATACAAAAAAATCATTCAAATCGGTCCAGCCGTTAAGAAGAGTTCAGTGACATACACACGTACATTAGAATTATATATATGTAAGCTAACAATTAGTAATTTTATATGAATAAATACATTCGTTTATAAATTTATAATTAATTGTTCCGTAGAATTCTGACAGCTTAATTTTTTAACATGTCAAGATGGAAAACATTTTAAATATGGCCGAGGCATATTTTTCAATTTCCAAAACCAGTCTGATCATCTTGACTCTATACATACATTTTATTCTTAGTTAATGTATTCAATTTTATTCAGTGCGGATTGTTCTAACATTAACAGTGGCCCCCTTTAACGGCGAGTGTAATTACAGCGTTCCGTGAGCATTTTCATCACAATACAGTAAAGATGAAATTTTTTGTCTGACGTTATACTTCTTTAGGCGCGTTTTGACCAAAATACCGGGTGTATGAGGAGTGGCTAAAGGACATTTTATCGATGAGCGCGACGCACCCGTTCGTGACAGCGAAAATTCGTAGTTGTCATTTGGCGTGCGCGAAGCGATTTGTTAGGAATTAATACAATCTACAAGTAAAAAGAATCGATTTCCTTGAAGTTCGTATGCCAACAATTTTGAATGACCATAATGACATTTGTCATTTACCTGGAAGGTTTAAAAATAAAGGGTTTTAATTATTTTTTCAAAGAAATTTAACGAATGCAACTTTTTGAATTATAATCAAAGTGATTTAAATTGAATATTTAAGACCAATACTAATGCTAATATTTGTGAAAAAAACTAAGTGCTCATCAACCTTCCTAAGAAATGATTCAAATACGATAGCTTGAGAGAGTTAACTGATCACCGTAATGTATTATATATATCGTAAGTAATGTTATTGATTAAGAATTAATACATTCGTTTAATCAAAACATGTAATTGTTCCGTGATTTTATCTGACAGCTATAATTTTTGGACATGTAGACATGAAAACAATTGATGCCGCAAATTTTAACTTCACTAAATTGAATACAAAAAAGATCTATCTATACTTATCTTCTTGTGAAACATCAAAATTACTCGAGTGTGGTATTCTAAGCCAAACATTTTTAATGGCCAAAGAAGTAATAACGTTCCTTTTGCGTCACATACAGTACACGATGACCCTTTTTTTAAGATGGTGTTAGTGAAATTTAGAGGTCGTACGGCTCGTACGGTGTTGAAAAGAGGCAGGAGAGATCAACCCAAATAATTCTTCCGAACACTCTCCGTAGTATACTTTGTAAAAAACGCAAGGAGACGCAATGTCTCTGCGTAGCGAGAGAGAATCAAGCCGATCAGTAAGACATTGGAGATTGACAATTCGACAAGCCCTTCGCTGAATTTGGTAAAAAGGAAGAAGCTGGTATTTGGGAGCACCGGCCCAGAGATGTGAGCAGTATTCCATATGAGGTCGTACTTGAGCATTGTAGAGCTGCATACGTTGTACCTCAGTGAAATACTGCTTAGCCCTACCCAAAACACCCAGCTTTCCCTCCCTCTAAGTCTCGGAAATCTTAAGTTTTAGATTTGTATAAATATGAACAAGACTTAAAAATTTGTTAGGCGAAGAAGTTTCACTTCTGACATGTGTACTATGTACGCAAGCACTTTTTATTTTTTGAAGTGAAAACTTCTTTAGCGGCGTTGTACACTTTTTTTGGAATGGGTAAAAAATTTTAAACTCGCGTCAGGACACGTGTCTTGCTGTCTTCCGCGCAATCACCCTAAGGTGGCGCTGGGAACCCCGTTGCGCCCATGGGCTTGCGGGGGGTTGCGTTGTACGCGCCCCGCTCAACGGCGGGGCGGTCGTTAAGGTGGCCCTGGAGCAGCCCTAAGCCTCGGTTGCGCTGCGGAGCGTTCTTCGCTCTCGCAGCGCCTTATTAGTCTCATATCGGTGGGGCTGGTGGCGCCCCCCCGTGGCGGCAACGGGCGCGCGCGGGCGCGGTCGTACCACACCGGGTGAGACCCTCGGTTACCCGAGGGAAGCCCAGCGAGGCAGACCTGCGGACGAATCCTCTGCGCGCTCCGAGACGCCGACGGGAGGGGTCCAGGACACGTGACCTGATCGAAAATACGTAAGACGGATGGAGAGTAGACAGCTGGCACAGCGTATTTAATGTAATATAAATTGTCATGTTTGTGTACGATAGCGCAATAAATAAATATTGTATTTTACCACATAACTGAGTCCTTTTATACTGATAATTAAAGCAATTCGTGCAAAATTATTCCCTAACCATTCCAAAATATCCAAAACGCACACTTAATATTCAAGTTTTCACTTCTGCCGGCATTCCCGGAGTGCAACCCGTCGTTTTTTATTATTATGTTACAACTTACAGGAGGCAAACGGACAGTGATGTAATGTTATGCCGCCGCATACTCACACTGCCAGAAGGCTTGGTACGCTGATTTCTTGAAGAATAATTTCTTCTTTTCTTTTATAATTTAAATACCTTTCTACTTACTTACTTCGCTGGCTCTGCATCCGAAAAAGAGTCTTGGCCTTCGAAAGAGAAACTTTCAACGCTCCCTGTCCTGTGCTACCTTCCGCCAATGGCTGGCTTTCAGCTGCCGCAGGTCTTTACATTTAAATACTAGGTATTTTTTACACATAGATCGAAGAGTGTCTTGGTTGGACAGAAATATTTACAGAGTTTACTTAAATATATCAATCTATGGCATAGAGAAATAATATATTATACTGATCTACGGTCTACCTGTTATCTGTATCATGTAAATTATTAAGGGTATGTTCCGATATACACTGCGAGTACTGTATATTGCTCCCACTGTTCAAAAATTCGCTATGGCCGTAACGGTCAGGGAAATAATGAGTCCAATCCCGCTCTTCTAGCGAGACTGGGTTTTGAGGTAAGGTATGAGTGCTTTGATAGGATCAATCAAAACACTTGAATGCCTGGCTGATATAACTTACAGTTTAATAACAAACATTAAAATTCTAACACTTTCTTTGTAGTATTAATTCAATGAAGTTAATATTAATATAGATTTTTTAATGCGATAACACTCAATGTGAATGAAAAAGACATGAAAATGGAAAAAGAAGTATAGTATAGGAGGTCGTTTTAAATTGTAACAGTAAGTGGTAAGAGAAAGTTAAGAAAAATGAGGTATTGAGGGAGGAACATTTCTTCTACAGTAAAGACAGAGTGAATGCCACAAAAGTCAAGAAGTAAAAAATGAATTTAAAAAGAAGTCTTCCAAACATTCTCATCACAGGTTAGTGGGGCACCTTAATTAATTCTTTCAATTGGTTCTCTTAATATAAATAGGTTATAGGTACCTATATGTACCTTTTAAAATTTAAGCAATAATTTATTATTTTCTACATAATTATGAACAGGGACACCTGGTGTGGGCAAGTCGACTATTAGTAAAAAATTAGCAGATCGTACTAAATTTACTTGGCGCGATGTTTCAAAACTAGCAGAAGAGTACAACTGCCTTGATGAGTATGACCCAGAGTACCAATGTCCTTTTCTCAATGAAGATAAGGTAACTCGTAAATTTCAAATATAATAAAAAAATGTTAAGCTATATTTTAGAGATAAGAAAAGGATTGCAGTATATTTCTTATACCAATAATTTATGTTGGTGGTCGTAATTTATATATATATATATATATTTACATTTATTTAAAGCTTCTAGATATAATGGAAGGAATGATGGCTAAAGGAGGGAATGTAGTTGATTATCATGGATGTGAATTCTTTCCTGAGCGATGGTTTGATGGTGTCTTTGTTATAAGGACAAATAACACAATGCTATATGATAGATTAGCAGTGAGGTAGCTATTCAAAAATTGTTTTATTAAAACTAATTGAGTCCTTTGTTGTGGTAAAACATTGCACATGCAATTATCATGTAATGATTTAATTTAAGCCTATATATATTGATTTTGGTATGTTCAATATGTTAAACTATTCATTATAATACCAACTGGCTATTACACGGTTTTATTAAAAAAGTCAAAGACCATTTTATTAAAAAAATCTTTTTTATCTCTGCCATATAATGACTATATCGTACAAATGGCATATACATTAGCCAGCCAGTTTATTAAATTTTGTAACAAATGCTACAGCTGAATATCTTTCAGGCTGCTAGTTGATGGCTGGGCTATTAATTGAATGGCTAATGCGGTTGGCTGCAACATATTGGAAGGCCCTTCTTAGATTCTAAGCAAAATAGACACAGAATTGTTCTAAATTCAAACGATTAATCAGCTAAAATATTTCAGAGGCTATACTGGTAAAAAACTAGACGATAATGTCCAATGTGAAATATTTGAGACAATATTGGAAGAGGCCCAGTCTTCATACAAGCCTGAAATTGTTGTACAGTTACAGAATGAAACTGAAGAACAGTTATTAAATAATGTTCAAAGTATTGTTGATTGGATTGAGAGGTGGAAGGAAGAAAATATATAATTTTAAAATGTATGAGGTTTTATTTTAATTATCAGCCTTTAAAGTTTAGTTATTACAAAAAAATTTAAAATGTTTTTTTGTGTAGCTTTCCATATGGCAATAAAAGTAAAATAGGGGTTAACTCAGGTAATGATTTGTATTAGTAAGTCAGAACCCAAGGCCCTATGACCGAGGTGCATCAACCAGCTTATAGAGGATATAACCTGGACTGATGTGTGCGAAGAGGCGTCCCTGGACCTGTAAACGGGACTGGACTCTCTCTACTTCACCTACATATGAAGCGACGCCCATTGTTATCTCCATTGCTGTGGCTGAACCATCGACTGACCAACATTCAACAACTGGTGCTATGCCAATGTGCGTATCGTGTTGGTAGATGTATTAGTCATTTGGTACTTCAACCTCCCTGGTAGTTCCATCTTGTTGTCTGGTCTTCTTCCTTGTAGTTGGATGAACTCGTCGTGTGAACGTAGCGTGAATGCGTGACGGAGCTGGATACATGCATGTAGCGCATGACTTGGATCCATATGCATTCCATTCAAAATTGACGAGGAAGCTCCGAGGCAGTCTATTGCCGGCACGCGTCAATAAGTTGGTGTAAGCATGGATGTCTTCCTGTAACACAGATACGTTATAATCAGGTGGCCATATCCAATCTGCATTCCGTAGTAGTGGTCCAACGTTGGGCTCATCGGTCCATCTTGCTCCTGGAAGCGGGTTGAGCTCATAGAACCTCCGGCGATGGGGTTCTGGAGTCTCAGGGTTGCTCAGATTTTCGAGCGCCTCTCTGATGTTAAAAGGATTGAGATATAGGGCTGCATCTTGACCGTAATCCAAATCAGAGTCGGGAAGGTAGCTGTTAAAGACTGTCTCTCCTTCGATCACTCCCACTGTGCATAGTATGTTATGCATGCTAATTGGAACTTGCGAAACAGTTTGAAGTACTTGACGGTACTCGTCGTTGAGGATGAACCGCGTGGATAGAGGGAATGATTCCTCACGTTGCTGTACATACCTTGAGTGAAAAACTTTGAAGGTAAATAAAAACAGTGACACTCGATAGTATTGGTGTATTGTGCAGATAGCTATAACTGTCGCTTGGTCCCAACTGCTGATCAATCTACTGTACTCGGCGACGGTCGTAAAACCAACACCGCGTGTGGCGACGGGCAGAGGAATGGCACGTGGTTGAACTGTGACCATCGTCGACTTGAGGCTCTGTTCTAGTTGGGCGGTATCTTGGTTGAATATTACCTAGAGGTCGTTCTTGAATCTGCTTAGCGTTGGTACTTTGGACGAACTTGTCCGTAGCACGCTGCTTAGCGCTTTTCCGCGAGCGCATTTCTTGAAAGATTGATTTGAAGTTGGGGACGAGCTGTTGCATATACAGATACATAATTGTTATTGTCCGACATAATGTATTAGTGTCTATGACAAAGGTGCGTACAAACTGGGTCCGCAAAATTTAATTTGGCGACCAGGGGCCTTAGTCAAGATGCCTTAACAGTAGTGTATGTTGAAAGTCAGAAACGAAATTTGTATGAAAACTTTTCGACACGAAGTGTCATTTCCATACAAATTTAGTTTTCGACTTCCTACATACACTACTGTTAAGCCATCTTGGCTAGACCCCCAGGGGCTTTAGTAAAATTTTAATAAAACATAACTTCAAATCCGTTAAAAAAGTGTTTTTCAGATGCAAGAAGTTCACTACGAAAACTTCCTTAAGTTGTTAATTTATTGTAGCTAATATACAGGGATAAAATAAAAAAAAACAATATAAATATTCTATTTTATTATCCCACTGGCAAAATATAAAGAAATGCATTAAAAAATTACTGTATTTCGATTTTGAGTTATCTATTTGAGACATTCTTTTAGATACTCAATTCACTTAAAATATCTCTCATATAAAATTTATGGGATGGAATGTTTCTAAACATTATAAAAGAGAAAGTCTTGGATACATACATTGCTAGGGTTTAGAAAAACATAAACTAATTTTAAGATAGTGAATGTAATTAAGCAAATTGTATTCACTATATACAAAAATGAGGTACTACAATTGTACAAAAATGGTTTTGCACTGGTGACATTTGTTTGTAGTACTCTGCACACATTCCATTTGTTACAATTAAAGTTATATAATCTTTAATATATAAATCATTCACACACGCAGCTCACAGATCTTTCATGGAAAGTAAATCACAACTCTACAGCTCATCCTTCTTCACATTGCCCTTTCGGTCCCAACCTTTGAGCTCATTGGTGGCTTGTTCTGATACATATTTAAGGAAGTCTTCGACAGCACGCCCACCCTATGAAAAATATTATAGTTAATTTCTTGATCGACAGGTGAGATTTATAATAAGCTAGTCCCCACACAAGGGAACCTCTGTGATGTGGGTAGCGATTATAAACATTACAATTATTCCGTGGTTCATGGTGCATGTTATAAAGTCTTAAGTGTCTCTAATCAAACAAAAATGGTAAAATACCTTAAGTATGCGTGAATGTATGAGTATGTGTATAATACACTGTACTTGATAGTGTGGCTGAGCGTTGTGTCTGTGTTAGTTTTAAGAGTCATGCCAAATAGTCCTGTGTAGAATCGAAATTCAAGTTGGCTAGCATAATTTATATATGTTTTTGTGAGATTATATCTAGATAGTTTGACTAATTCAGAATACAAAGCTTGGGTAATCATAAAAATTTAAAAAACGGTTGGCGAAACACATCTTTCGTTATGGCGTCGGGAATAAAAAACGAGTTTCAAGACGTGTATATTACTTCTAGATATTTAGTACTTTAGTGTATTCGACAACTGGACATTGGCATATATTGGTTATGGCATGTGTGGAGTTTTGTGACAGGTAGGGTTTTGGCAAAATTTAGACTGAGCCGATTGTTTTGAAGCCATTTAGTAGTTTAAGTATTTAATTTCTACCTTTCTCTCATTAGACGGAAACCTGTTACCTCATAATTTGTTCAATACATGCACTTTAGTGTAAGTTTTTTATGATTTTTACTAATTTCCACTTGTTTCTTTATATTTCCCTATTAATATTAAACGTCGTGTCGTAAGTAAAAGTCTATTAAGTATAATATTTAAAATGTGTTTTTGTGTGATTGTTGTCAAAAGTAAAGTTGTAGTTTTGAAAGGTTTTTTGAACATTTACTTTCTCATATTGTAAGTATGATAGTAACTTATGGCAGAGGTACTGAAATATACGTACATTGTATCTGACGGGACGTCTGCTTGAGTCCTTGGGTTTCCAGTAGATAGTTGGGAATCCAGACACATCGTAAAGAGACTTAGGCCAGTCATTGGCGGTTGCATCAATCTTTACAATATCTACCTCTTCATCTTTAAGCTGTAAATATAAAAATAATAAGCATTATATACACTGTGAATTGTATGGTAGATTTGTCACATGCACATTTATTGATTTTTTATGGGTTGTATATTATAGTATAATTCTGACGGACATGATGTAGTGTGATGTGTGTTCATTATGTTTAAAGACTAGACTCTTAATATGTGTATCCTACATTGCACCAAGAGGCAGATTATTTTTGACACAGAAACCTTTCTGCCGAGTAGGTATTTAAATTTTTTGACTACCTTTTCACCAAGTTCATCCCAAATCGGTGTAAGCTTCTGGCAATGACCACACCAAGGCGCATAGAACTCAACAAGAGCATCCCTTTCACTGTCAGTAACTAATTCCTTGAAGTTCTTGCCAACTGCAACTTTAACTGCACCCTGGCTTTCTGGTACCGGTTCTGACTTGATGAATGGCTCCAGTTTGCCAGCAAGAAGGTCTTTGCTGAACGCCAGTAGGGCTTCAATGCTATGAAATATTAAAAAATATAAAAATGTGAAATGAAATGAAATAGTTTATTCTTGCAAGTAGGACTATATAAATCACTTTTACAATGTCATCCTAAACTAGATGAAGTCGACATTTCCTAACTGACTGCCCTGAGATGAAATGTCGAAACAAACTCGGGGGTCTTAGTCTCTTTTATAGTCCAGATAATACAATAATAAATTAATAAATTGGTGTAAACAAATGCAGAGTATTTACTGGACTGGTCTTTGGAAGAAAGAACCAGATCGATCTGAGCAAGCCTGTGCCAGCAGACGGCAAGCATGCCCCGAATAGCTCATGCAGCTCAACCATTTTTGAGGGAGCTGCACAACCCGGTACACAGCAATACCGCCAGTGGCACCATAAAAATATGTGGGGCAACAACTCACTCAGATCGCCAGCCCAAAATAACTATATACTAATGTTATACGAATGTGTGCGTGTAACTAAGATTATTACAGAATTTCATTAATTGTAATATAATTATTACAATCATTGTTATCGTTATTATATATTTTTGTTATTAATGGCTTCGAATCTCTTCGGATCAACCGTGGTAGGGACAAGAAAAAGATGGCGCGTAACCGAAAAATGTGACGGTAAATTTTTTTCCAACGCCGATAAAGAAGTTTGACTTCAAAAAGCAACATGGCGCGTAACCGTAAAACGTGACGATTTGCTACAAAATTTCTCCCATACGTCGATAAAGAAGTTTCACTTCAAAAATTAAGAGTTAATGGTGCAGTTTGTAACAGATATAAACATGTCACTCCATTATTTGGGAATGATACTTATTTGTATAATTGAAGCTATAAGTGATAATAGTTGTCTGTTAATTTTCTAGACATTAAACTGGATAGTGAGCAGTGTGATGAGCAGTGTTGGCCTTGTGGCTTCAGCGTGCGACTCTCATACCTGAGGTCGTATGTTCGAGCCCCGGCTGTGTACCAATGGACTTTCTTTCTATGTGCGCATTTAACATTTGCTCGAACGGTGAAGGAAAACATCGTGAGGAAAACGACATGTATTAGACCAAAAAGATCGACGGCGTGTGTCAGGCACTGGAGGCTGATCACCTACTTGCCTATTAGATTTAAAAATGATCATGAAACAGATTCAGAAATCTGAGGCCAGGACCTAAAGAGGTTGTAGCTCCACTGATTTTTTTTTAAACTGGGTAGTACTTTAATGATTAAAATGGAATGGAATTATGATTGATATTCATCAGTAAATTATCCTTCAAGGTATCTTTGTGGCTATAATACAAGTAGTACATAATAATTACTACACTACTACTGTGTAGAACAATTTTTTTGTTTGAATTACTCTATCATTGAAAAATTATCACACTGGTGAAACTTAACATAACTTTTTATAAACTCTTTTTAATATTAACCTAATACAGCATATTTTAATTAAAATAAACATACCTGAACTCTGTGCTCATAACAAATTTGTTGCCATCTGCATCACGACCAGCGACTACAGGCTTGTCTTTCTTTGCAAAGTCAATGCCATAGTCATTCAACTCATGTGTAAAATCATCCTTGTCACTAATGGCGAATGACACCTCATCTACTTCTTTGGCAACCTGAGAATAATTTTTCTAAGTAAACACAGACAGATAAAATAATCATTACTATAATATAGGTAGTCTTAACTATAAAAGAACAGTCATGGACACATGCATACTTCCATGTCTGTCATACGGATGCCAAAGGGCTATGGAGCGCTCCATTCTTCAATTGAAACTAACAATCAAACAACACAAAAACACAAAATGACAAATGACAAAACTAAAAATCAAGGTGATACGAAGTCGTACAAAAATAAAAGACGTAACATATACAAAAAGGCTAAAATGCAAATGGGCCGGTCACATTGGCCGCATTTGTGATGGTAGATAGGTCAAAAATACCCTTACTTGGAAGGGCCCAGTGGGAAGGAGAAAGAGAGGATGCCCACCGAAAACGTGGGTTGATGAAATAAAAGGGATAGCGGGAAAAAACTGGAAAATTGTTGCAACAAAATGGAAGAATCTGGAGGAGTCCTTTACTGCATCGGAGGTCAAGTACTAGTGTAAGACTTAAAAGACATGGACTTATTGTAGTTATAGTGTACTCAAGTAAAGACTATTTTTTTTTTTTAAATATAGGTAGTCTAAGTTTACCGTATACAACACTGTATAAGTTGAGATGTCAAAAATAATATGTAATCTCAAATTCTAATTATTGTGAAATTATGTCATTATTATGTCATTCTCATCTAAGAAACTTTCATGAACAGCAAAATACCATTACTATATAGCAACATATTGATTTTTTTTAC